TGAGTTGCTTGATGTAGAACTCGATATTATTCACGTACGATTGAACAGTCAAACGTGTTTCATATCTCTTGGAAAAGTTCAAAAATCATGTGTAAATTATTCAAACAAGCGTGTCCATATAAGTATAAAAAAACCATTGGAATATATAAAGACAAGTGGAACGCAGATGTGTAAGACGGACGGATTGTGTATCGATTATTACGTACGCTCGCTGATGCGGATCACCGCGGACCGTATAAAACATATAAAATAACATATAAAAAAGTTATTTTTTATTAATTATTCATTATATAATTTTATAATAGCCATAAATAAAATTAAATTAAAAAATAGAAGAATGACTTTTAACATTCTTGGTTATGCCCTTCTTACATAAACGATCGCCTACGAATGAATATCAATTTGATGTGCCCTTCGCTTAATTAATTCGGTAGCGCGCAATCGATCTTTTGACGATCGGTGAGTTTATAGCGACTGAAGCAGTAACTGCTCAATATGCATGTACAGAATGTCGTCCCAGAGGTATTGCAAGGCCATCCAAGTGCAACGTTAATGTCAAGGCCGTGAAAGGTGGACATATACTAAACGCAAGAATAGTTCATAGCTTCGAACCCGATAATTTTTTCGCTGCGATAATTAACTTTGCCGACGCGCGAGCAGTCGATGACTTGGTGTAATCTAAAACGATTCTAATCGAATTCTATTTTAGCGCGAAGCGGCGATCTCTGCGCCGTCCTTAATAGCTTATACAGCTACGCGCCATAAATATTACTTGTAGCTGGTTTCGCCAACGCCAGTTAACTTTAACCTCAACTTAATTGATTCTTAACAACGTCTCTCTCTCTCTCTCTCTCTCTCTCTCTCTCTCTGTGTAGAAGTAAAATTATCAAGAGAGAAGAAAACCGTGATTAAAAAGGAATGACAGACATGGCAAAATCTTAATCGCGCGTTTATTTGTAATGGAGTTATAATTGAACGCTGTTAGCAAGTTTTTCTTTATCGTCGATTAGTAATTAATCAGATTTCCTATAAAATATGTATTCTTCTAATTAAGTACTTCTAATTAAGTTACATTCGCTAGATTGCATTAAAATAACATAGCGATATAACGAGCATCGTTCGCTTGCCATCGCAAGATGATTTTAACCATATTAGGTTGTGTCCATTTATTATACTCATCTCATTTATTACATCAGTCTCACACACGTACGCGTAGACGATTGTAACGAGCTGAAGACATATCTCGATTAATTATAATTGCTTTTCCCTCATCGATCTTCACTTTACACGATAATGTCCCTCGATTTCTCTTAACGGAGCTAGACATAATGAGTAATTGTTTTCGGTATATATCCAATGCCAGGACAGTCAAAACAATTATATACGATACGCTGAGTCTATTCGTAGGAGTTCCCTATCTACTGTTCTGTGTGATTTAATAGATCTTACACATACCGGTACTAGCGCCAGTTCTCTCGTATTATTATCGTCAAAAGCCTTTATTACGAGATCGTTGTGGCTGTTCCGCGAATAACATAACTCTGCGGTGGATGGGAGTACATTATGACACGTATACGATAACAAGACGGTTCAAACTCATGTCGTTAAACTCTTCAATGAATCGGCTGCATTTGTGAGCTGCACGTACTAATATACCGACTTTGAAAAGGCGAACACTTTTGACGCTTTAAATATAAACACCAATGAAGCTTTGGATATATATATATATATTCTGACCCTCCGTAATTATCTTGATACAATATGCCTCGAAAAAAAGAGTAGATATAATCGGAAATGTTTTACGGGCAGATGTTGTTTAATCCGATAATAGTCACCTTATTTTTTTACGTAAACGTCACCGTAGAATATTTTACACCCCCCCCCCCAATTAAAATCATTATTATTAATAACACATTGTATATTATTGCTTTCCGATTTACACATGTACAAAAATATTATGGAAATGGATTCGATCATAATTTATTAATAAAAAAAATAAAATAAATAGAAACCAAATACGGAATATTAAACGGAATGCGTTAAGTAGATTATTATGATAATATTTGGGAAAAGGAAGGTTTTAATATAACGTTTTTCACAGCGAGTACTGGAATTACATATATATTTAAAGCTTTTTAAAAAATTAAAAAAAGAAAGAAAATATATCAATTGATATAACATACAAAACAATATTTTACAATTTAAATTTTCTCGTCGCTGAGGAATAAAAATATCTTGGGTAACTATTACTCGGTTAAGGATATATATTAGGTTGAATAAAAAGTCATCGCGTATTTTTTAGCTCAAAGTTGTATATACAATATCTTCGTCAATAATGAATGAAATTCAAATTTAAAAAAAGGGTTTTAAAGCTTGAAATCTCTACTTTTAAAAGCTTATCACATTTTTTAAGTTTATATGAGTTTGATAATTTTTACATACCAAAAACTACGAGCTGAAAAAGACGAAAAATTTTCTTCTCACTTTGTGGATTTGTAACGTGTCCAAAACGAATTTGAGATAATTTTCGATTACCTATCGTGAAAGCTTGATATTTTCCCTATAAAATCGTTTTTTTTTTAATATTTCTACGATTTTTGGTTACTGAGTTATCGCGGATTAAATAAAAGAATTATTTTGACTTTAATTGCTCATAACTCCATTAAAAATTGTCGTATCGTATAATTTAAAAAAGAGATTTTTAAAGCTGAAACTTTACTCTATCAAGATATATTTATATTGTTGGTAAGAAAGTAATTGCGGTTTTTACTGATAGATGTCTTTTAAAAAAACGCGATGACTTTTTACTTAACCTAATATTAAAATCGATATAACGTTTCTCGACTGTTAGAATGTTGAAAATTTTAGCGAAATTAAAATTTGAAGTTTGTGATACTAATGAATTTCATATTTCGAACGTAATTAAACGATTCAAATATTCCGAACCTTTTTTTTTTCTTCACTTTATTTAGTTATTATTGTTGTTGCAGTTATTTGATATCTTTCATTCGACAGGAAAAATCTGAAGTCCTGGTCGCTGATTACTTCGTCCACCCGTCAATTCGTCTCATTGTCGACACCGCCAGCCATATTTTTAGGTGCTCGTAAAGCGCGAATCACTTAAACAGGGATTCGCTTGTGCTTTATCTCTCAGACGGGCGTTCCGTGGGCGATTCTCCGACAAATATAAAAACACGCTGGTTGTGGTACATCGCGCATATGTTAATTATCGCGTATTACTACATACCCTGATAACGGCTCGCGCAATCTCGTGTCGTTAAACCCTCAATGAATCGAGCGCATTCAGGGAAACTAGGCTGCGTTCATGCTCGACATCGCGAACTTCCGAATGAGTGTCGAATCTTGCTTTATCAGCCGCGACTTGACCTCCACATAATCATTCGCTCGAAAGTGGCGTATATATCGGAAATGACTTGATGGTAAATCAATGCGAGTTTAATCGGTTATCCCCCAGGTGATCTACCTTTTTGTTACGTACAATTATTCTCTTAAATTTTACATAAGTATAGGATTTACGTCGGTATGAATAAATATTCGGCTGTTAAAGAATACTCCATTAATTACGTGGATCCCGATGAAATGAATTAATTTTCGCATATGGTGCAATTTATAATGTGGTGAAAACAAAAAATGTCTTGAGACGTGTAAAACTTGTAATCACAGACCTTTAATACATACCATAATTAACAAATTATTAAGCTTTGTCTGTCTACAAAATTTTTTATTCACCACATTATAAACTATATTATATGTGAGAATTGATTCATTGGAATCCAATTTTTCATCTGATTAGAAGCGAGGTGCGAAGTCCTTTATATATTGTTAAGTCGATCTACAATGGGTGTTTTAAGCCGTAAGAAATTGACCAATTACAGTCGAGAAGAAAAATTGATTGTAATTCGTCCGTTCCTTATGGCTTAAGGTTTAAAAATTTATTGCAGATCCGAGCTAAGAGAAAATATAGATGTGTTTCAAGATTGGAAAAGTTCATATAAGGTATTCTCATCTCTGATAATAAAATATCTGCTAAAATGTTTAATATTTCGCGCTTAACGCGACGAAGATTCGACTTTACGGAATTATAATCGAAATATAAATCGCAATCGATTTTCTAACATCGCGTCATCACGTTGATCGTTCGAAAGGAGATCGTTTCGACGACACCCCACAAACATTATCCCATAAAATCCAGAACGAGTTTGTTCGCATCGGATATTTTGCGATATATCGCCGATATGCTCACAGATAGCTTACGACGGAGCGTATTGCATTAATCATTAATCAATAATCTTACTGCTTTGAGCCGATTCGGCGAATAACGCAAATATTACAGCGTACAGAGGGAAATTGATTCAAATTGTAGCCGTTGCTCGGTGCAACAGCTCGTTTATTAGGAATTTCTGATGCAACAATCACGGGATGGAAAGTGAAACGTCAATAATTGGCGATGATTCGTTGCGCTTTGCGAGAATCGACAAGGAAAATACGACTTCTCGAAAGCCTCCACGGGTCATCGTGATTCAACCTCGCGTCTTTAAACCTTCAATGAATCCGTTACGTTCGGAGAAATTTACGGACGAGCGTCATGCATGTATAATAAAAAGAAACTTCCTCCTTCGACTCTAGCGAGTTCGACTTGATGTGTTAATTGAAGGTGTTTAATGCCCCGTCTCTAATCACTTGCCAATCAATCCAAAACTTGAGGAAATTAATTCTAATATCGCGAAAATAAACTCTATTTGAAAAAAAAAAGATCTAATCTCTCTCTCTCTCTCTCTCTCTCTTTTAATTTTTTAAATTAAAAATTACACATACTTTAATTTCATATTAATTTCAAATTTAATTTCGTACAACCTGAAATTGAATTTTTTTCATCTTTGAGATTAATTTCTCCAACGTCATTTCCGAGAAATAACTGCAACGCTGCACATTCCTCCCGATTTTGTCGTAATGAATATTCCAATAAACATCTCGTCGCGCGTGAATAAACAGTTCGCAGGTAATATCGCGCTAGTTACGGAATCCACGAGTTGGTATGTTATTAAACTTGGATCTAATTCGTCACGCTCGGAGAAATTCCGGAGCATCTCGGCGCGAATCTCGTAGACGATGCGGAAGCTCAGGATCGAGTCGAAGCTCAGCGGTGCTGCGTTAGCTGCTTACGCTCGGTGTAATTAGGACGAAAATGCGGGATTTGAATGCTCGATGAGGCTCGAAGAATAGCGAGGAGGAGGAGGAGGAGGAGGAGAGAGAGAGAGAGAGAGAGAGAGGGGTGTCATTAGTAGTCCGACGGGTTCGCTGGTGAGTGGCATTCCGTCTTCTAGCCGCGGAACAGCGACGTGCCCTCTTCCTTGAGACTTGGTCGTCTTTTCTTCTTTCCCATTCCCTCCGCTTCGTTTCCAGCTTTTACGTGCCACGAATCGGGGGTCCTACGAGCGTGGCCTATTCCCCACGTGACGCGCGACGCGTACAACAAACGCTCGTAACGATTGTCCCGCTGAGACGCAAAGCGTATAATTATAATATGTGCCGTCACCTCGAGGGCGCGATCGTTGACAATCGACTCGATGGTATACCATTCTTGTCGAATGCGTATAGATCCGACATCTTGAACACGTTAAAGCCAACCTCTCTAGTTATTGGGGAGCGAGCTGCTTAAATCTCTGTCACGGGGGAAAAAGATAAATTGCTTTCAACCCGCTTTAAAAGGAAGTACTTCAAGATTTTTTTCCAGGCATAAACACAAAATTCTCCACACCTTTTTATAACCTACATAATGATTCGTGCTAAGTGTGTGCATTTTTAATTTAGGTCCGTTTCCATAATGTACGGTTACCAAAAGATCGATAAAATTCAGTCACGAGTTTCTTGGTAACTTTCAATTTTTAGGTAATCGCGTATTATGAAAACAGGTCTTACTCAATGTTAATGGACTTCTTGTGTATCTATTTTTCGAATATTATTATGTTTTCTTTCATACAGTAAAACATTATCTCACTGTTCGTTGCACTTTTAATATGGAGTTTTATATTATTACACGTTGCTAGAATGTTATTGTTAGAGGACATTCAAGTAATGAAACTTTGCGCTATTTTATTACATTTAATCAACAATGTGTGTGTGAGTAGTAATTATTATAATATCAATGCACAAGTCAATTTATCCAAAATATACCATTCGTTGCATGTCATCTTCTCTGATCGCATTATTAAGATTAATAACATTGAAGTGCAGGCACATTAAATTACATTCGTGCATAAAAATATCTATGCATTTATTATATTAATATTCTGTTTAAATGCAATTATTTCTCTAATGTTATTCCATTTCAAAATATACATCACGAGAGTATCTTTTATTTTAATAACATCTTACCTCCAAACACTTTCTTCCAAAATTTGAGCGAAAGGAAATTCGAAACTTCTAATTAAAACTTCTCATGACAGACGTAAGACTGACACAGAAATCAATAAGCTGCTGTTTTGTTCTGCGAAACGTTGCAATTTTGACGTTAGACTAAATCGCGATTCTATTTCCTGTCACAGACCTTCGCGCTTTCGTTCTTTCATCCGTACGAGATCGCGTCGCGACGCGAGTAAAAAAATCAGATCGCACGGCGATCGGATGATCGATTATCGAATCATTCGATTGCGCTATCGCGACGTAAAAGTTTCGTCTGTTGGTAACGGTATTCCACGCCGCCATTCACGGAACCATTGCGCGCTCATTATCGAACGCTTATCCAAAAGTTCATATATTCAGGAGGGATATAATTTACCGGATCGCGCCGCAGCTACCGAA